GTTTCTAGATGAATCAGAGTGGACTTAATGCTATTACGCATGCCTCAACAAGTAGGAGTGTTTGCTGTCTGGATTGGATCGGTTTTAGAAGTAAAAATCATCTGATCCAATCCTTTCGGTTTGATCATATAAATCCATTCGGTTTTGATTTTTTTCAAATCCGATCCGATCCAATCCAATTTTTTTCGGTATGGATTGGATCGGTTTTCGATTTTTTGAAAATCCTAAAATTTATTTCATGATTATTGTGCAAATAATATCTTTTATATATATTGGCTTCGTAAATGTATTTTTTTGAAATACAAAACATTAATAAACTATAATATAATTTTTTATTTGCAATGAGATATGAAGCTCTATAAAGATAAAATTTTGTTGATGAGATGTGACTAGATTTTTTCTTGGGTTTAGTTGATAGGTTAATGGGTCTTGAGTTTAGAAATTTTTAGGCTATGATTAGGGAAAGACCCAAGTAGGTAGAGGAAAATCAATATATTAGATCAGTTTGGATTGGATCGGTTTTCATCAACCCATCCAAAAACCGATCCAATCCAATTAAAATTTGCGGTTTTTTATCGGTTTTCAGTTTTTCGATTTTCGGTTTATTTGGTTATCGGTTTTTCGGTTCGGTCACCGCGGTTTGAATTGGTTTGGATCGGTTGATGAACACCCCTATCAACAAGGGTGCGGTGGGGACAATTGTGGTATTCGAAATTGAATAACAAAGTTTGATTCCAATCTTATGCCGGCATCGTCTCTAGAAAGGGACACAATACCTTTCTTGACAAAAAAGAAAAATTTATTTACATTCATAGCTTCAAAAAGAAAATTCGTTTTACCCACACACAAAAATTGCTCAAATCGGAGAGTACGTCAACAAGAAACATGTTCTGGTTAATGAATGAAGAATGGTTAAGATTTTTTTTTTATATACATAAGCAATGGTTAAGATTAATCTGTTTGTATAACTATTTAACAAAGGAAAATATTTACATTTGAATTTTCTTACAAAAGTACGTGACTGAAATTCATTATGAAATTGGAGTATGGTGGCCGTAATATACTCAAAAATAAATAAATAAATTACGATAGATTTTTTTACCAAAAAAAATTTATTTTATTAAATTGGATTATTTTGAAGTAAAATATCCTACCAACATTTTTAGAAAACTTTTATTTTTTTTAATTTGTTACAAAAAATTTATTACACCAAGCCACTAGGATTGATTTAGTGGTGAGGGGTTTGGATATGTTGTATTAGGTTATGTGTTCAATTTTTACTTATATCAAAAAAAAAATATTACACCTATAATTTTTTGGATAATTACTATTGATTTTTTTTTCCTTTCTTTTGATTAATGTTCGGATTAATGAAAATGTATGGAATTGGAGGAACATAAAATAGAATTTTGTGGCCCATGGTCATATGCGACCCAAAAGGCCAACCGAGTTACCGGAGTATTTAAAAGACTAAGAATTGGTTAAGGCCCAATGACACATCAGGCTTGATGTTAATAGCATCATATAGATAAGGATGTTTACTTTTTATCTTAATATTTAGTTATCCCATCTAGCATTTTATTCTTTGTTATCTTATCCTGGACTTATTTTATGGGCCCAATCTAACAGTAAGTAGTTAGTTAAAGAAGATAAAGATAAACATCTTATTCTATCACTAAGGTGTTGTTTGATACACAGATTTTATTTTCAAATTCTGAAAAAATGGGCTGGAAGTTTGATAAGAAAAGTAAAAATATTTCCAAATTTTTTTTTCAACATTTCGCTTTATACTACAGAATCTCATTTGCAAATACCATCCAAGATGTGGTATTTTTTTTTCCCATCCCATCCGATGGGAAAGTAGTCAACATTTCTTAGACCAAATTCCCTCATCATCAAGCATTGACAAGCTGACACAGACACCAAAATGCAGTTCCTCCACTCCAACCTCAAGCAACAACGATTTCCTCATCTACATAAAACCATACGAAAAAAGGATCCTTGCTACTTGGTTCCATGTATTCCTTGTTTCCTAGGCTGATCTGTAGAGGTTTCAAAGGTCCAACTTTTATTCGTAGGTTCTCAAAAATGAAAGCCAGTATTCTCTTTTTCCATTACCTTCGAATGTTAATTGTCCAATCGGTCCAAGATATACCCTATTTTTTATCCTTTTTGCTGAACCTCCTCCGCGAGCATGGTATTTTAGGTTGTTCTGGGCACTGGTGTTTTTTGTTTGTGTTTCAAAAGTTACATATTACGAGGGTAGTTTCGTAAATCCTTCCCATATTCCTAGCAATATTTTATCATCAACAAAATATAGACTCGGAAAACTTAGCCTATATTTTCTGTAATATTTTGGCGTACCAAACAACTTTTTGATAACATTCTCAGGAAAAAAATTTCCCACTATATTCCCAGTAATGGGATTCTCAGGTAAAAAAAATTCTTACCAAACGCCCCCTAAAAGATAAAGGATAAGCCACGTATTTCACCTCTCCGAATTGTGTTACCTTGATCAAGACTCTATATTTAAAGGTAACCCACATATAAAAAATTCCCTTCCATTATTTATCAGCAACGAGTTTTATTGCTGAAGAGAGGAATATATATATTTATCATCAGGATCTCAGTCACCTCTCTCTCTTGAAACACAGTATCCTCTCCAAGTCACTGGGCATTATTTATCATACACTTATATCGCCAACGAGTTTTATTGCTGAAAAAGGGAACATATATATTTATCATCAGAATCTCAGTCACCTTTCTCTTTTGGAACATATTATCTTCTTCAGAAGCTTTCATCTACAACTTTATTTTCTCACGAAGCTTGGATCTGCAATTCTGTCGACTTTATTTTATCAGATGATCAAGACATTTTTATTCCGGTTGTCAACACAAGTTCAACACAACACAATTGCAAACCATGATAGAAGAGTCTCTTGAAACACTCGAGCATCGCCGACCAGACAATCCATACTTGATGACAACAAACAAACAACTCATGAAGGTTGACGTAATACTGATCGATGTATCCTGCTTGGAACACTATACACTACAAGTAACCGGCCTAAACTGCCATACATCTTGGCACCCTGACTCCGCAAGCTACCAAGTTGGGGAGCTTCTGTTCCGGATACTCACCTTAGGCCCACTAGTCCACCTCTAGAACCTTCTAGAGGGCACCCATGGCAAGCTATAGAAGCTCACCACTTGGACATCTCATTTTCGCTGCACTGCTATACACTGACATTGGACAACATGTCTTGTCTCAGGACAATACATGGCTTGATGAGACAACTCATGAGACTGACCAGTTCACTCCCCCATGCTAAAAAGGACTCTCCTCTCTAAATACCCCCCTCACACATGGAGGGATGATCTTCTTCTCCACCTTCTATATTTGTTGTTACTCTGCCCATTGGTAGAGCCATCTTGGCCACACACACACCCCTTTATGCACACCATGGGAAGTCTTTACAGTGTTTTGGTTTCTACCATTGTCACTATGAGCACCTCTATATTAACATACTTCACTCTCCATGGGACACATCTTATGTACCCCTGCGGTACACATTGTTTCATAATCTTAGTGACAAACATATGCTATAGCTGTAAGTGAGAATGAATTCTCTCACATTGGAATTTTACATGATCAAAGTCACGTAAAATTTTTGTATTTGTGTCAACAAAGATGGACACAGTTGGTTAAGGATTTGGTCCATATCTCATAAGTATGTGTTCAAATCCCACTAACCGATGAGAAGACTTTGTTAGCATGTGATATATAATTCTTCTCGAAAATTCTCAAATAGGTTGTGGGGTCTTTCTGACCCTAGTAGAATATTAGTGTTTTATCCCACTTAAACTTTTTACTATCCAACAAAAAATATATTCCTTTTTCAGTTATATTAAACAGGTGGATTAATTAAAATCAATAAAGAAAATATAGAAACATGAAAAAATCGAATCACATTACAGATCGAGTTGATTGTTGCTAGGCTTTATTTTGGTCATCGAAATATATGGTAGGTACTATTAATGAGGGAAAATATTTTCAATACTAAGTACCTGGTATATTTGAAAAAATAATATAATTATACTATCCCTATTTTATAATTGTTTTCTTTTATATCATCTTTTTTTTCATTCTAATAAAGGAGTACTAAAAAAATAAAAATAAAGGAGTACTAATTCCCGTCGCATAAAAATTGTGCTCTTAATGAGGTGGTATAGCTTCAAACTTTGATTTTATAAATTTATAATGTCTTTATCTCCAGTCTCTTTCGTTGGCTGACATCGCCACTTTTAGCACAAATTAAATGGAGTTTAAGTTAGAATTTCACTCTTTTTGAGCTTTATATGAAATAACAACGGGCTCTTTCAGTTTTTTTTTTCTTCATTCTTTCTTGTTCACTTTTCTCCTCATTATGCACCTATGACTGTTTATGAAATTATTTATTTAAAACATTGTAACCTTCTTCTGTCTTCAATCTTGGTGAAGCGACGTGTCTTTTTGGTGGCTTCTCTTCATTTTCGTTAGGCACAAAATTTATCTTCTATTCATCATGAATTTCCCCCAAGAGATTTAGAAGAAAATCTAATTATTGTGATTCGAATATTTTGATATATACTACGATGTTTTATTTTTTTTACCGTGAGTTACATTATTTAGTACATAAGAAAATACATTATCATAACATAATATATTAAGTATATGTAATTGTATTATTCAAAAAATATGAACTGTGCAAGGATTCATTATAGTGAACTATAAAGTTTTATTTTACATAAGAATTAATAATTTATTATTATGATGTATACTTAGTAATAGATATCAATTCAAAATATAATTTCTTGAAGAAGAAAAAACGGAATAGTAATAACAGTTATTATGGACATTTTATATATAATGTATTACATAACTATAATCATAGCCAACCAAGATGCTCCTTCTGGAGTTAGTGAAGAGGCTATGATCAACTTTATTGGATTTTACAAAATCATTCTCCCCAGCTGAAGCTGATAGGGCTTCCAACAACGTTCTTTCCATCGGACCATTCTAAACGTCCAAAACTAAAAGGACTCTTCGGTTTTGAACCTGATGCGGCAAATGTAACCGTATATGATTTTTTCTCCTTTTCGTTGAAACTCAACTCTTCCGGCTCAACTGAGACATTGACGAACGCAGTATCCGACGTAACCGATACCTTGTACTTTCCTGGGGGACCCACGTTGGTCAGTGTGCGAGTGTGTTTAATTTTTGCTCCACCATTACCACCTGCTGATTCAAACACCACCGCAAATGAAGGATAATTAAGGTCGTTTACACTGTATTGTTTTTTCGGATCGCACTTGTACTTTCTCCTCGCCACGGCCTCGATTCGATCAGCAGTGTAGTTCAACGCGCAAAGGAAGTTCAGATAATCATCAACCGTCAAATCATATACAAGTCCTGGATTAAGTGCAGCAACGGGGTTCACATGTCCAGCGCCAAAATCCAACGGTGTCGCTGGTTTTTGGGTAGCACTGTCCAGCAGTTTCTGACCATTTTTGTAAGCCGTATAAGCCGTAGTCATCAGCGCAGAGCGAATAGCGGCTGGACTCCAGTCAGGGTGAGCCGACTTGATCAAAGCCGCTAAGCCGCTCACGTGAGGGCATGACATGGACGTGCCTGATATGATGTTGAAGTCCACACGCCTCGCATCCGAATCAATATTAGTGGGACCCGCAGCCTCCGTCCATGCTGCTAATATGTCGACACCTGGCGCAATAAAATCAGGCTTTAATATCTGCGGTGTAATAGGATTGGGGCCACGGGAGCTGAACGCCGCAACAACCGGTGACGGCTGAATATCCACCTTAGTTCCCTCGAACACAATCGTAGCCGTCGGTTTTGGATTAGAAAACAAGTACTTCTTGATGGCTTCACCTTCTTTCGAACCCACCGCAGTTGCCGGCAAAAGATGGGGGTCCGCCACCAGTTCCTCTCCGTCACTGGCCTGGTTGGCCAACACCATGCCTAAACCGCCGGCGGATTTCACCACCGATCCTTTTTCTGCCCTACCAAGATCGCCGCGATCACACAACACGATCTTTCCCGCAACTTTTTCCGGCGCCAAGGATCCCGCCGCACATAACTCACCACCTTCTCCTACTCCTATGCTCGCATTCCCTGCGTATACGAACGATACGGGAGTATGTGGCAAAGGATTGCCATTATAAAGGGACACTCCAGAAAAGTTTTGTCCATTTCCGAGGCTAACGTACGCTGGGAAATCTCGATCAAGTGTGCCAGCTCCCACGGTTGTAATCCAAGGTGCCAAATTGGTGAGAGAAGATGCATTGGGACCCGAGTTTCCTGCGGAGCTTGAGATTAGAATACCTTTCTCCATTGCCGAAAAGGCTCCAATTGCGAGGGTATCTTCGTCATAATCGATGGCTCCACCTCCAATCGAAACTGAAAGGACGTGGACCCCATCCGAGATGGCCTTGTCAATTGCGGCGAGTATATCAGAAACCGCACAAGCTTCTTCCCAGCAAACCTTGTAGACAGCGACTCTAGCGCCCTTGGCCATCCCACGTGCTGTACCATTAGCGTAGCCGAATAGGCTCGCGCCTTCCACTGCAGATCCTGCAGCTGTGCTCGCAGTGTGGGTGCCGTGACCGTCACTGTCACGTGGCGATCTAAATTGCTTGGTTTCATCAACTGGACCATTCGAGGCCTCGTGACCCTTTGGAAAGAACCTGGCTCCAATCAATTTCTTATTACAGTTCGAGGTTGTGAAATTGGTACCTGTTTCACATTCGCCTTTCCAGCTGCTAGGGATGGGTCCCAGTCCAGTATCGTCGAAGCTCTTGCTTTCTGGCCAAACGCCTGTGTCGAGGAGTCCGATGACGACGTCAGTGCCTGTGTTTGACTCGGGAAACATCCCAGGGATTTTATCGATCCCGAGGAACTGAGGGGTTCGAGTGGTGTGTAGTTTGTACATTTTATCTGGCAACAACTTTAGAATCCCGGTTTGACTCTTCAGTAACCGGGATTCTTCAGGTGTTAATCTTGTTGAGAATCCATGGATTGCGTTGTCATAGATGTAGAGCATTTCTGCTGAGACAGATATCGATTTCAGAATCGATTTATACCAGACCGAATGGTGCTCAAAGCTTGCTGGTATTTCGGATTTGGACACATGTACTATGTAAGTACTCTTCTGATTCTCGGTCATCTTCTCCGTTGTTGCCAGAGACACATCGAAGAAGACCAGAATCAAAACAAAAACAAAGTGACTTATAACGAGAGGTTTCTTAAAGGACTCCATGCTGTTGTAGTGAGAGGGGTAGTAATGCAATGGAGAACTCAGGTTTATATAAAGGCCTGAAAGGGCTCATATTTAATGCCAACCTTTTTTACTCTTGCCTACTAAGAAGTGTGGAAAAATAAAATAAAATAAATAACGTGGCGGTTGTGTGGTCAATTGAATCGTTGCATTGAGACAAAAACGTAAAAAAAAAGTGAGTGGGATGGTGTAACTGTAATAGATGCAGGTCAGTGCATGTTATTTCACCCTTCTCTAGCCTGCAAGACGACATATATGCTTCCCTCACGCGAGCGTTACACCCTTGAGCCCAGTGCCGGACCCACTCGCGGGCATTTGATCATAAAATTTTTTATTTCAGTTATTTTTTTTTGGAAAATAATACTATTATGCTACAGAGTAAATCATTTTCCTACACGAATTTATTTTCTTTGTTAATTACTTTTTCTTTTTTCTTTTTTAATATAAAATTTGGGACCCACATTTAACTCCTCTCTACTTTTTTTCTCTTCTACAATCCTACAAGAAAACTTAAACCCTTTTTTTTTTGTTGCAGGTTCTCTTGCTTTAATATAAATTAGGAGTAAATATCTTTTTAAGTTCCTAATAAAAAATATAGTCCTCATTTTAGTTTCTTACAAAAAAAATTAGTCTCGAGGTCCCTACAAAATTTAAAGTGGATCAATTTAATTAAAATTGTGATCCCTCACAAATTCAAAAAAGACCTACATTAGTCTCTCAAAAACAACAAAATGGATCCACTTTGAATTTCATAGGGACCAGGTGACTAATTTTTTTTTTATAATGGACTAAAGTGGGAACCAAATTTTTTGTTATGGACCAAAAATGATATTTATTCTTATATTAGTTAACAACGTAACAGCGTACGGAAATGATTAAAACAACGTAGCAACGCAACTTGATTAGAGAAAAAACTTATTCTTCCTCCCCTGTCATGTACCCATTCTCATGCTCTCTTTATCCTTTGTTTCCTTTTTTATTTTTATAAAAAGAGATGATTGATTGCGATTCTGACATTTGCAAATAAGTTAATATCTAGAGACGAGGTATGGATATATTGCAGTATATTCTCATATTTGTTTTGGAGGATTGGTAAGATTTAGGGGAGAAATAATTGATCAAATTATTGTCTGCAACTTGTTATGGAAGCAACTAGATTATGAGCAGGTTCAAGCGTTGATTTAAACTTTCTTTAAAAAAAGAATATTCGGGGGCAACGACTACTAAATATGCGAACATAAAGAAATTTTCCTAAGCCGCGCCACTGCTTTAGCCTGTCACTTTTGGGTTGGGACTTCGTGTTCGCTGTTTCTGTCAGGATTATTTATTATCAGGTGTCTTTAAATAAAAAATAATATATTTTTATAAAAGCATTTCATATTTACATTTATTACATTTAGAGTATACATATTTGAATATCTTAAAAAAAAAAAAAAGAGTATGACATATTTTATTTTCTAAATATTCTACCTTCTTTAAAAAAAATGGAAGAGGATCTTAATTCATAATTGACATTAATGAGTGCCTTTAAATAAAAGGACATTTGATATTTTTTTAAATACAGATAAATTTTATAAAATAGAAAATATGTTTAGACTGATTTCGGTTAAAAATATTAAGATTTCAATTAAGAAAACTTGTGCAATTTCTCTTGGAGGAATTTATTATCAAGCGTCTTAAAATAGAAAAAAAAAATTATACATTTTTCAAAGCATTGTATTAATTTGGATTTGGATTTGGATTTGGCTTTATGGAAAGTCAAGAGTAACGAGTAATCAAAATATTCTGGAGTTTTTAAAACACTTTAAGAAAATTTATGACCCAATGCTTTATTTTAGTAAATTAATTATAGAATAATAAGCTGGAGTTTTTAAAGGTTTTTGCTAACGATCTAGATCTCGATTCTCGAGTTATTTTGCCTTGAAATCGAGTCAGAAACGTTTCAATCGGTCAAAACACAATTCACTAACTAAACTCAGTATATCATTTATTAAAATCAAGAAAAATAATATAATTGACTTTATGTATTCTATCCACTCAAATTTTATTTTTTTCTATTTTTGAAAAAGTACCTATTCCTATTATATCAAACATATGATCCTCAGTCTCTAAGTTACGCATCAAAATCTTCCATTACTTAATCATGAGGATCATATCTTTGATATAATAGGAATAGGTACTTGTACAATTTGACTTTTTAATACAAGTCAAGCAAAGCATTTAATACTTTTAAAAATATTTTTAGACCTTTTAAACTATTTAAATTTGAATTAAATAAATTTAGAAAACTTGTACAATTTAAATTACTATAATTGATTTAGTGCTGAGCAGTTTGTATAAAAAACAGTACAATTTCTCTTGAAATATTTTATTATCAACTGTAATAAAATAGAAAAATAAAAGAATTTGATATTTTTTCGAAAGCATTTATTGTTTAAAAAATATTAAAGTTATTAATTTAGATTTGAATTATGGAAACTCACGAGTAAAGTGTAATCAAAATTATCTGGAGTTTTTAAAACACTTCAAGAAAAAATATGACCCAATGTTTTATGTTATTAAATTATGGGATAAATAACAATCATTTTAGGAAAAAGTTTACCTAGTACGAAACCAAACCAAAGCCCCTCAAATTATTATAGAATAATACGCTTATTGTGGTCGAAATCACCCAGTCTCCTTACCTAAATGATGGAGGATTTTGATCCATGATTTATAGTAATGTTATTAAAATTGGTTCGGTCCTTGATCCGGTCGAAATATTAGGTCATTGAGTTACTAGTTCAATCAGTGGGTCACTGGTTCAATCGCATGACCCGATAATTATATACAATTTTATATTTTAATTAAAAAATTATAAACATGCTCAAGTATCTAAACAAAAATGATAAAAATTTCAAATATTTTAATATAAAAATAATAAATCACATATTATTATCAGATAAAGGATTAAACAAAAATATAATGATCGTGATATAGAGCTTTAGGTTTAGAAAACGACATCGCTAATTATAAGCTAATTATAAATCAAATCAAAAGTTTATGCATAGTGCATAATTCAGATAATATTAGTGTTGTAGGTGCATAACTTATGTAAGTTAATAAGCAAAAATATATTCAAATATATCTATTATGATTTATTTTTTTTGTAAAAAAAAATTTGGAATTTTTTTTTAGGACCGAGCCGGGTCACCGGTTTTCATGAAAACCAGCCGGGTCAGATCGGATCGCACCGGTTCTGATGCATAGTCGGTCCGTTGCTTCAACGGGACCGATTATATGACCGGTTTACCGGTTCTGGTCGGTCCGGTTTTATTAACACTGATTTATACTAACAAGTGTCTTCAAATAAAAATTCATTTAATGCTTTTAAAAAAGTTGTTAAGTTGTTAAGCTTCTTTTAAAAAAAAATTATTATTAGATTTATTTTTGTAACCACTGTTTAAATTTGAATTGAGTAAATTTGATAAATTTCCCTAAGCGGAATCTATTATCAAGTGTCTAAGTAAAAAATTAAAGTATTTAATATTTTTATAAAAGGTAAAGGATTTCTCCGGTCAATAGAGATAAGTTATCTCTGGTGAGCCCAACGATATCGTTTTGGAAAGGAAATCAAGATATTTTTATAATTCTAATATATTACAGGTTATATTAGTCATTCTAATTATAATTTTTTAATCTTCTAACCCATAACGACGTCGTTCATTTTTAGCTTACTGGAGGCAACTTTATCTCCAGTGAACTCAAAACTACGTCATTTTGGGTTGTAAAATTAAAAAATAATAACAATAAAGACTAATATAACCCTGCAATATATTAAAATTACAAAAATACCTTAAATTTTGCCCCAAAACGATATCGTTTTGGGCTCATCAGAGATAACTTATCTCCATTGACTGAAAAAAACTTTTACCCCAAAAAAAAATATATATGTAGATATATAGAAACAAATGTTTATCCTTTCAAATGACATAACTTGTGTCATTTCACTTTCACAAAGAGGTGGGACTCACCTTTATTTTTTTTGTCAACTCTCACTACTCATTTATCTATCTCTTTCTCTCTTTTAAAATGACACACATTTTTCTCGTATATATATATATATATATATATATATATATATATATAATTCACAAAGAAGTAAAAGTTTAAAAAATAAAAAATTATACTTGACTTTTTCAAAAATAATATTTATATTCAAATTAATTCCTGATAATAGAAAGTTTGATAGGCAAATATGTCACGTAAGTCAGGGCTTTTATTATTTAAAAGTGGATTTAATGTTTTTACCATAAATGTAGATAAGTTATCTATATTTGCTCTTAAAACGACATCATTTTTTGTTGAAAAATTAAAATAAAAAAGACTATTATGACCCTCAAATAAATTATAATTACAAAAAATATCTTGATTTTCACCTTAAAACTATGTCGTTTTGGATTCAATGTAGATTAGTTATCTACATTGACCGTAGAAAAAGCGAACCCTTTAAAAATAAGCAAAACAATACCTATAATATTTTTAATAGCATTCAAACCCAAAATATTTTATACAGATATGATCTAATTAAATCGAAGCCTAATTTAACCTAATTAAAGACGACCCATATTTACACCTCTAATTATTATTAGATATTTTAATCAATAATTTAATACTAAAAAATATCTTTACATTAAATAAATATTTAATATTTTATACAAAGATGAATTTTAAAAAATAAAAAACATATGCAGACTAACTTGGTAAAAAATATATATATTTAGATTTGAAATGAGTAAACTTCTGCCATTTTCCTCGGTATAATTTATGTTGTATAAATGAGCTATGAATAAAAAGTTAAAAGGGTCGCATCTTTTCAGCTTCAATAGTCGTACCTTTTCGCTTGCGAATAGTCGCGCATCTTCGTTTCCGAATAGTCGCGCCTCTTCGTTTACGAATAGTCGCGCCTCTTCATTTACGAATAGTCATGACTCTTCGACTTA